CACCCTGTCTGCCACGTGGGCCAAGGGAGTGCCTTTGGTGGGCTGGGCCCTTCCATGCACACACAGCCAGCCTTGGCATGCTCCACCCAAGGGCCCTGCCCAGCTCTCTCACAGGCTGCCTGCTACACCCAGAGCCAGCCCCCAGAGATACTCCCCACAGCCCCACCCCCAGGACTGGGCCCCCACACATGCTAACCCCAAGAACAGTCCTCGTTGACGCCCCCCCTCCCCCAGTGTAGTTTCAGAGTGAGATGTTGCTCACCTGTCCCCTCTGAAGTGCCCTTACCCACCCCTTCCCATGCCCACCCCATGCCCATTCCTGCCCCTGCCCCCCTCAGGATTGTGTTGATCTGTGCCAAGCGGTCCCTGTGTGCAGCCTTTTCTGTCCTGCCCTACGGAGAGGGCCTGCGGGTCAGGTGAGTGTCCCCTCTGTCCACCCTGCAGGGCAGCACCAGGCATGGGTGGCCAGGTCTGCACCTTCAGGGACCAGTAGCTGTGGGCTCCCACCTTCCTGTCACACATCTTACAGAGAATACAGTACTGCCCGGGGATGGGACGGTACTGCATGGCCTGGAAGACCCCCGCCCTTCTGTGTGGGAGAATGCTGGTCCCCAGGGCCTGCCCAGTGGCACCCTGACCAGAGGAGGGTCTGCGCCCTTGCTGGTGTCGTAACAGGAAGAGCAAGGAGGGCGCCTCTGGGTGCTTTGAGTGAGGGGCTCACTGGGCGGGGGACGAGGTGGCCGCGGGGCTGGGACTGCTCGCTCAGCTGGCCCACCTCGTGCCTCACAGTGACCTGAGGGTGGACGGGCAGAAGCAGCGGCATCCATCAGGTGGTGTCTCCGTGGCCTCTGAGATGGTCTTTGAGCTAGAAGGTGTCGAGCTGGGCGCGGATGGAAAGGCAAGCTTCGCGACAGGGCTGGGGCACCAGGGGTGGTGGGCGAGGAGAGGTACTGGTGGGAGGCCGAGGGGCCCAGGGAGCCGCTGCCCACCCCACCACCCCCTCCGGGGAAGGGCAGAGGTCTCAGCAGCTCCCTGGCCGCCATGTGATTCCCTGCCCAGGTTGTGTCCTATGCCAAGTTCCTGTACCCCACCAACGCCCTGGTGGCATCCAAGGGTGACAGCCATGGCCCTACGGCCCAGCCTCGACCTAGTATTCCCCGGTCTCTGCCAGGCTCCAGACACAAGCCCGGCCCCACCAAGTCGGCGCCAGCAGCCACAGAGCTAGGTACGCCGTGGGCTTGGGCCACAGCCTGCCGAGTGTGGGGCAGGGGGCAGTCAGCCAGGGCCGAGGCCATCCCTCCGTGGAACCACCAAGTCCAGACGGGGCCTTCCGCCTGCCCTCAGCCTCTCATGACCCCAAGGCGCTCTGCTCCCCTGGCTGCCCCGTGCCTTGTCCCTGGCAAGCTAGGCAGAGCCCAGTCTCTGTAGACTCAGGCTGTCCCACCTCCAGGGAGTGACCCCAGCGATGCTGTCGAGTACAACCCCAACCTCCTGGATGACCCGCAGTGGCCCTGCGGCAAGCACAAGAGGGTCCTCATCTTCGCCTCCTACATGGTGAGCGCCGGCACCACGCCACTTCCCCAGGGTGTCCAACGGGGCCAGGGTAGGGGGGTGCTGCAGACAGCCTGGCCTGCCCCTTGCCGTGGGCCCAGGAGGCCAATTGAGGGCAGCCACCGTGCACCGCTGTTGCAGACCACGGTGATCGAGTATGTGAAGCCTTCAGACCTCAAGAAAGACATGAACGAGACCTTCAGGGAGAAGTTCCCGCACATCAAGCTCACCCTGAGCAAAATCCGTAGGTGAGGCAGCGGGGGCAAGGGGAGCACGGGCCTGCCCAGGAGCCCAGCCTGACGTGTGTGCACGCGCACGCAGCCTGACGTGTGTACACGCGCACGCAGCCTAACGTGTGTGCGTGCGCGCGGCCTGACGTGTGCGTGCGCGCGTGCAGCCTGAAGCGGGAGATGCGCAGCCTGTCGGAGGAGTGCAGCCTGGAGCCCGTGACCGTGTCCATGGCCTACGTGTACTTCGAGAAGCTCGTGCTGCAGGGCAAGCTCAACAAGCAGAACCGCAAGCTGTGCGCGGGCGCCTGCGTGCTGCTGGCCGCCAAGATAAGCAGTGACCTGCGCAAGAGCGAGGTCAAGCAGCTCCTGGACGTGAGTGCGGCCGGGACCATCACGGGCTCCCCTCTGCCGGGCGGCTGCCACATGCGGGGCTGATGTGTCTGTCCCCGGGCCTCTGCTCTTGTCCCCACAGAAGTTAGAAGAGCGGTTTCGGTTCAACCGACGGGACCTGATCGGGTTTGAGTTCACGGTGCTGGTGGCGCTGGAGCTGGCCCTCTACCTGCCCGAGAGTCAAGTGTTACCTCACTACCGGCGCCTGACCCAGCAGTTCTAGTTGCCGTGCGATCCCACCCTGCCCCTCTCCACACCCTCTGCTTTCCTTCCTAAGCCACACCTCCTGTCCATGTCTGGGAGTTTTCCCGAGGTTGTCTCCCATAGGTGGGCTTCGGTTAGGTTCTCCGAGCACTGTGGGACCACGCCAGCATATAGGCCGCAGAGTGGGAGCGTTAGGGCGGGGACGTGGCCATGGGCCCCCAAAGGCTGACTCCTCCCACCAAGCCCCACCCCACGAGGCAAACCTGCCTTCGAGCCTGCTTTTTATTCCTTACTCCTGGACTCCGTTCTTCCAAGCATCGTGTCACTGTGAACGCCACATGCTGCGTCCCACTCCCAGGACTTGGAGCAGCCCTCACACCTTATTATGCAAGACCGCCCACCGCCCTCGCCCCGGAAACCCGGGCACCCCGACTGGGGAAGATCTGCTGCTTCTGACTCATCTCCCTGAGCAAGGCTGGACCTGAGAACACGTGGGTTAATTTGTAACCCAGGTTGGGTTTTGTGCATCTTTCAAGAGGAAAATCGGTGAAGTCTGCTGATGTTGACTTTAAAAACCTCGATACATGATCCAGAATTGAGAAGCTGTTGCTGCCCCCTTCCCCTAGCTTGTCCGCTGTCCACAGCAGCAGGCTCAGAGACCCTGGGCAGCAAGGTCCATTTTGCCTCATGGGCCAGCTGGTCTCAAAAAACAAACTGTCATCCCAGCCAGACTGCACCACCCCAGCTCTGTTGACCTTGTCTCCAGTGCCCCCACCCCCAGCATCTTGACTAGGGCTTCTGCCAACTGTCACCAGCAGCTGCTGGGCGGAGACCCCCAGCACAGGTGGCAGTTGTCCTCTCACAGGTCACGTCAGCACACGGGGAGATGCAGGGGACCAGGTGCCAGTGTCCCAACCGTATTTATTGCCAACATTTCCTCTTCAGGGCCAGACAGCCCCCTCTGGAGCCAAGGACCATCCCTCAAACCTGGTTTGCCCTCGTGAGCAGGGGCTGGCCCAGGAACGCTGCTAAAACGCCATTGTCAAGGCCCCACAGAATTCCATTCTGAAAAGCCACTGGTGGCAACCCCTCATACCATCTCAATCAGGCCTCTGTGCAAGGCCTCTCGGACAGCGTGGCTGACATGGTCACTTAGGTTTGTGTGTTCGCGTGCTGAAAGTTACCTTCTACTGCCCCCATGTTTTTTTCATAATGCCCAAAGCTGCCACTGTGCGGTCCCCAAGGCTTGTGCAGGACAGTCTGTAAATCACAAAGGCCAAGAGCTCCATCCTCAAATCCAGCGTGGCCAGTCTCCAGTGTTTGTTGGGCTTGTGGCCTTGACCCCAGCACCTCTGGGAGGTGTGGGATTGTCGGTCTTGGGTCTGTTTTCTAAGGGATAACTTGTTTTGCAATAAAGCTTGGTTTTGCTACACCAGTCCCAAAGGTTTGCTTTCCAAACTCTCCTGTGTGGAGTGGACTGAGTGCCCTGGTGGTAGTTATGAAAAAAACAAACCACGCAGGCAGGGGGTTCACAATTTATTTCTGACACCCAGGACCCTCCTGAACCAGCAAAGGTAGCCGCCCCATCGTTCCCGGTAAGGGCTCCCTCTGTCCAGGATTCACGCCATCAGAAGTTCCTGAAAAGGGGAGATGGCAGGCAGTGTAGGGCAGGCAACTGGCGAAGCCCAGCCGCTCTGCCTCCAGGCGCCCCTCTTACTTGGAAACGATGCCGTCCGCCTTGGCCAGCCGGAGGATGGAGTCGTCGGACTCGCCCTGTAAAACAAGGGCCGGCGTGAGACCCTCGGGAGGGAGGGCTTCCCGAGCGCGGCGCGCCTCAGCCCCGGCCCTCGCCACACTCACCATCCTGCGGATGGCCCCGCAGATCGCGTAGGTCTTAAACTGGCCGTTGAACCTGCCGGTAACCTTGTCAACCTACGGACGGACAGGCGGCGGGGTCAGCCTGGGCTGGCCGCCCGAGGCCAGTGGGCGGAGCACCGCGACCCGCCCGGCGCCGGCTTACCTCGGCCACGTTCATCTGGATGGACGCGTGGTCCTTGGCGCCGATGATGCGGTTGCTGGCGGAGCTGTGGGGGCAGGGCGGTCAGGGGG